GACGACACACAACGTGATCTACTCAACGCGCGGCCCGGATAATGAGCTACCCTTCGTAACTTCGCCGAATTGTGTGCCATGCGTGTGCGAGCTTCCTGAGAGCCACGAAATTTTCTTGGCATGAAACGAGGTGCGTAATAGTAAACTGGACCGATTTCCGCTCTCATGAGCGAGTCGAGCATCTCTGGTGTAGTACGGGGCAGTCTATGCTGTTGTTCCGTCATAGTTGGAACATCCATTCCTCACTAAATCTTCTGCAGTCCCGGGCGTTTTTACCGCCGCAGATAACGCGATTATTGCGAACTTCACGGGTCTTTCTTTTGGCGAAGCGTACGCGAACCAGGAGGTTCTGGCCTCGGAGCCCTCCAGCACAGTTAGGTAGCGCTGGTAGACGCAAAAATCCTGTTCGGTCTTCGCTAGAAATCGGAATCCAGTTGGTCCATAGGCCCGCATATTAGGGGCGTATTCAAGTTGGTCTTTTAGTCGAGACAAAAAAAAGTCGAAGTCGTCAAAGTCAAAGTCCGAAGTCGAAGTCCTCTTGAAGTTTATATCCCAGTTAGACCATAACAATGAGCGGAGACTTCTTAAGGTTTCCAGTCGCCTTCATGGACGTCGTGGCTGCAGGAGGCGGAGTCTGCCCTGGGCTTACAGGGCGCAAACTTCAGCATCGTCCGCGTGGACGCGTAAGTCGTCTAAGAAAATGTCAACTCTGGGCTGTCTCCAGTATCCGAGCTGTTTAGCAGAGGTATGGATAGTGGCAGCGTGACCCTCGTAGCCGAAATCGTGCGAAGATGAAGTTCCATGTGCACGCTTTTCTACGCTCTCACAGCAAACTCCTAGAGGGCATTCAGGGCGGTGAGCCGTACGACGGCGCGCAGAAGGGCCAAGAGGTCTAGCAGATTCTTGTCCCTCGGCTCACGCTGGGATAGCGGAGACGGCGAGGAGGAAGCAAGCAGCGGCGGCAGTGTGGGTGCGGCCACAGAATACATAATAGTACAGGTACAGAAGACGCACTCCGCCATAGCGATTCAACAAATATAAATCTTTACGCGCGATAATAAAGTACAATTTCCTTCGCGCCGGCTTTGGATACCTACTTTTATATTAGCCTACTCATCGCGCGCGCAAGCAAAAATGAGCCGAATGGCTGCGCGCGAAAGTTCTTCTGCCGCTGGCGCGTCCTGAAGGTCACAGTCAGCGCGCTCAGTGGGGATGTCACTTTCGAATTTTAAAGGAGGAAGGCAGATAGGTTCAAAAACTCTGACATCAGGGTTCATCAGGTCGTTGTAGTAGTAGGTACCTAGATGATAAATAATAATTTTATTACATAGCTAGAATCTATGTAGGTACCTATTTTCTTACCTTTCGATGTCACGCGGTAACTTGTGGAACTTGAGGCTTTTATCACTAGAATTATTCAAACAATTAAAAGCAATGCAGTATTTTCTTATTCTCATTTTCGCGTAATTTACGTAAATTTAGTACAAAGAAAGAATTAAGAGCGGCAACGTGGGAGCGCGTGCGTAACGAGCGGCGTGCGGCAATTCACTGATTAACCTCCCCGCGGGTGTCGCCGCACGTACTTGTAAATCTATACCTACGCAGCGGAGTGCGCCAGGCCTGGTGCGGCAGAAAAGGCAGCGGTTATTGCTGCAGCGTCGGTAAAGCCATTATCGTATTTCTTATAGTTTAGATGGGATGCTAGTATTGCTGGCGCTCTACATTAAGTACTCCAGATCCTCGATGACTATGTGCCAGCAAAACTGGCCCGTGAGGTTGAACAACTTTTGCTATGAAGCCGTTTTCAATATATGTTTTTAGATTTTCGTGGTTGTTCACAACATTTGGTTTACATCGGGATTACTGCCACGATCAGGTTTTTGTTTTGTGGCCATGGAGCATGAAACCCCTTCGAAATATTGAGTTACACGACAACGTAATAATCCCGATGTAAACCAAAATTTAAAAGAACCTGTTTTGGTGTCTCAAATAGTTTAGCTGCGCTCCTGGTGCCCTCCATTAGGTACTACAGGTCCTCAAGTGCTGGCAAAAAGGAGTCCATGTCCGTCTCCGATTTGCTACCAATATCAGAGCCGCGTTTTGCGAAGATCGATAAAACGGTGTGGCTATAATGGGAAATTTCCGCTATATTTCCCGGTTTGCCCGCTGATTACCGTTTTCCCGTGGTAATAAGTTTTTTTTTGTTGTTATACACATCCCTACAAAACTGTGTAACAATAATAGTAGCAATAAAAGATCTCAACTAAGATATAAAACAATATACTTAGGTATTACAGTATACAGGGAGTAACGGAAAGAGTATAACAAGCCAAAAGGAGGTCAAGGTACTCATGAAACTGAACAACTTTCCCAATGGAACATGGGTCGAAATATGAAAAAAAAAATTTGGACCTCCCATACAAAATCACCGATGAGCTAATTGATTTACTATGTTAGGTCCAAATTTTTTTTCATATTTCGACCCATGTTCCATTGAGAAAGTTGTTCAGTTTCATGAGTACCTTGACCTCTTTTCGGCTTGTTACCCTATCTGTTACTCCCGGTATATACAGTATAATGTAATTTATAAAATCACCTTATATTTTAAACATGCATATATTTTTTACGCTTTATATGTATATTTCAGTAAAAATAATAATTAATATGGGTTTTCCGTTTACCGGAAATTCTTTTTCCGGTAAGAAATCGTTTTCCGTAAGAAAGTCATATCCATGTTAATGATTTCGTACCAAATAGCCCCCTGATTCCGATCACTGGTAATAACTTTATTGTACCAAACAGGAAGTAGTGCACAAAGGCGGACTTATCCCATTAAGGGATCTCTACCAGTCAACCTTTGAGAAATTCAGAGGACATGGTGTGCGCAGGTAAACTATGGTACAAATTGGTGACACGGTAAAATTACTAATAATATATATATATATAACACCTATATGCAGATAAAATACCACGTATTAAATAAACAATAATAAGAGTAAATACCAGTAATAAATATTTAATAATACAAAGTAAACAAATAATTAAATACTTAACATATGTAACATAAATATATATAGTTATATTATAACATAAATAAATATATATAGTTTATTTGTCATGGACTTTATCACCGAATGGTCTTTATCATTACAGTGACAGGCTGTCAGCCTGTCGCCTTAAATTACAATCCACATTTACTCTTAAATCCCTTAGTAGCTTCTTACGACACCAACGAAGTTTCGGTTTTGTCATACTATGCCGGTTTTTGATCAAAACCCTAATTTAATCAAGAATCTGCGACACAAAGACATAACGTAGCGCCCTTTTAGTATGGAAGATAACGCCTGGTCCTTCCCCTTAATTAGCTACTTAACTGGGTCGTTACAATATAAAAGTTTTAAATTACCTATCATTGTTTTACTAGTTTATATATATAAGTCTATGTTGTTTTAGTGGCGATTATCTCCTATCCTTTTCTAAACTCATTTGACGGAGAGTGACAGCACTAATTTAAGTGACGTTAAGAAAACTGTTCTCTCGAATCGCGACTTATTTCTTACTCACTTATTTTACTGTCGCCGCAATATTTCTTGGCATTCTTTGTTTGTTACTTTGCGAAATGAAAACTGACTTTTAAAAGTAAAAGAAAATAGTCTCTCTCATAATATTACCACTTTAAGGAAACTCTCGTGGAGTAAAAATAAAGACTTTACCATTTATGAAAACTGACTGAACCACTTGAGCTACATTGACTAGCTAACAAGCAGATGTATTAAAAAACAAAACCCGACTGCGGTTGGTTATATCAAAGTTGTGTTTGCGATAACAATCCGCCATCTTGAATTTATGACTTTTAAGTGCCTACCACGGAAGGGTTAAAGGCGTGATTTATGTGTGAATGCATGTATGTAAAAATTTCTTGAAAGTTGCACAGTTAGGTACTTCAATGACGAGATAAAAAGGAGCTCGTCTGCGTTCATCACTGGCATTTCGCTTTAAATAGATTGTAGTGCCGTAGGTAAATTTAAAAGAAGGCCCCAGAACCAGCGACTTTGTTATGTCTAAGAACCTGATGCGCCACGGGACCCTAATTTCGTTAAACGTTTTATCCGACTGTCTCAGAAGGAGGGTTATGCTTTTCGAGAGTATGTATGTATGTGGACAAGAAATTTATTTTTCACGGGTTACAGCCCGAACGGCTGGGCGGATCTGGACATGAAGTGTCGTCAGATTCATCTCACAGCAGCGCGAGTAACACAGACGAATTTGAAACGCAAAATATAGCTGTGAAATAACCGTAGTCGAATTTTTGTATATCTGCTTTTTAGAACGCTACGCATACTTTATCTATAAGACAGCAAGTCCATTCATATACCTAACTTAAACTATAGGTAATAAGTAATAATAAAGAAATAGCATCAAGGAACCTTAGACTTGGCATTGGCATGGCTTTGTCTAGATTTCATTACTTTTTAGAGATAGTCAAGCAGCTCCATCGAGACTTGGCTAGTTTTTTACATAATGTTTTTGGTGGGATTTCTTTTACGCCTTATATTTTTAGTGGCCTCACTAAAGGCGGGTAAACAGTAAACATAAAGGACGTGTGAGTGACGCTATCTGAAATGAGAGCCTCGAAAGGAGACGGGAATAAAATAAAATGCAACGAAATGAGAAGACGCTCACCTTAAGAGCACCTTAACCTAAAGTCTAGAAAAGGGAGATAAACGGTATTCAGTGGTGATGATTCACATATTTTGTGTGCTGTCGATTAAGAATTGCACCACTTCATTATTATTTAACTCTATTACATTCATATTAGTGGAGAAAGGCTTTTGAACTTCTTACTTCCGTTACAACAAGCCCCAGTCTCCTCTATCGAAGTTTCAAAGTCAAAGACGTGTAAGTTTTCTTTCCGCTCATTACATCAATACTTCCTTTCGGACCAAGGAATATACTAACTCTACCTATAAATTGAAAAAGAGAAAATTGAAAAATTCACTAGCGACCGCCGGGACTTGATCCCGGGACTCCGTGGATCATCGTTCCACCGCTCTGCCAAATGAGCTACGGCCACAATGTGAGTGAACAGTGAATTTTTAAATTTCCTCATTTTCAATTTATGAGAATAATATAGCGCTGTGTGTGATTGCATTAAAAATTCCAATACATTACTACTCTACCTGTTTTGGAGTGTGTAGCTATAGGTATCTCTTTTCTATTGGATAGTATTCCTGAATCTCAACCTAGATATTATTATGTCTTTTAACAAAAAACGCAATAACAAAGTACAAGTAACAGTGATTGCGAAAAGTCTGGCTTTACGTGAAATATACGCAGCGGATATTGAATCGCGTGTTCGGTTGCAACGGCGCGGGTACTTTGCCAAATCCGCCATTTTGATAAACGACCGGCCCCGGCACGTTTCTTCTGTCCATTATTTTTGTTTCAAGACTGTACCGAAGCAATGGCGTAGTAGGAAAATATTGTATGTCTTCTCGGTGGCGTTTCTAGTAACTTTTTTTGTACACTCAGTTCTGGAACTCATCAGCACATGTCTTATGTATCTATCTCTAAGCCACGCAAGACATGATTTCTTCTTTTTCTTCATCGAGTCGATGAGCTACAAATTAAATTATATTCGACCAGACGTGACTTGAATGTACCTATCACAAGTTAGGTAGACGGCAAACGGGGCTATTTCGACCAAAGTCGATGTATTAAATGTAATGTATGTATTTTCACTATGAGACTAACGCTAAATAAAGCATAGGAGGTCAGTCAGCTGATCGCGAGTTTTATTTTTCAAGCAGTTTTCCATGTTCGACCCTACGTTGGAATCTTGGACAAGCTGGAATGGATTAATACTTGTGGTCTTGTAGTTATTCATTTTGTACCTTCAGAAATGTGTTGTACATCTCTAAAAAAAGTACCAACTATTTCCAGAGCGTGTAGGGTCCCGCTGCGCATATACGTACATAATTTGTCCCATATTGAAAATTCTTCAGTTACTGCCCTAGTCTTTTGGTGAAAGTTTAAAGAAGGAATACTGTTTGTAATTTCGACTGTGGTAATGGGGGAAGTAAACTCCTACGCTACCTACTCGCAAAGCGTTTTCTGACGCGTCTCATTAATCAAGTGAGCCGTTATGTGACGTGCGTTCTTGGTAGAAAGAAAAGGGTAGGCAGTACTTGAAGGGCATTACAACCATTTTGTAGGTTTACGCGACTTACTTGTTTTTTATTTGGTAGAAGGTGTAGCTACGTTTCGGCTGGTTACGACAGCCTTCTTCTTGGAGGACGACAATCACACACGCGCGACCGCCAGTTGCGATTGTCGATTGGTTGCGATTGGCATTACAACCAATTTCATTTCCCTTCATATATGCTTCCCTGGAGCTCAACGGAAAACTTTCTGTGCATTATCAAGTGTCATGTAGAGGGCGCTGAGTCAGTTTGTGCCTAGCTGAACAGAGCATGTTAGTTCTGCGGTGTTGGGTGAGTGCCTCATTATGCGAAAACAACATACTGCGATGAGTATACGTTTTGCGAATCGTACATTATGCGTCTAAAGGCCTCATAATAACATACCTGTTAAAACTAGTCTGTGTTTTATATTACAAACAAATCTGTGTTCTACTACCTAGTACTGAAAGCAGCCCGTGTACGTCGGGGCGCCACTACTGAGGGTACTGGCCTACCTACTCCACACAGACGGTTCTATGTGAACGAGCGGTTGACGCGCACGAACAGGCTAGTATTCCGCCGCGCTCGAGATGCTGCTAGTCGTAATAATTGGCGCTACGTGTGGTCAAAGGATGGGAAAGTGTATGCAAGACAGCGTCAGGATGGGCCTCGCCATCGTCTACGCTCGGAAAATGATGTAACCCGTGTTTTTGGTTTGGATAGCGTTGGTTCATCTCATAACGATCCAAACTGACTATCCTTTTATGAAAATGTTCATGTTTTTTTCACTTGTGGTGTTTGAATTGTGTTTCATTAATATTAAGAATTTGGCCTTTGCTACCGTGTTGATCACTTTTTGAATGATGTTGATATATTTTGATCATTGTTGTTCAAACTATATGTAAGATATCAAAGATGTCAAAAATAATGTTGGCGATTCGGGTTTCGTTCTTTATCTGCGTCAGTTATACCGACTCCCAACAACTCACGGAAGCAAGTACCTACTCTATTTGCCTGCCTACTCTAAGTGTACTTTATGATAATGATAAATGGAACTACAAACTATGAAACGTAAAAAACTGATAGTGTTTACTCTGATTTTATTTCTCCAGCTTACAAACTATTCTATTTTTGGATTTTCTCGTTTTCTCTTTGTGGCAGTGTCGCTGCTTCTTCTACGTCGCTAAGCGGAACCTTGCCAGCTCTTGTTTCTGTCTTTGTTTGTTCTGGTTCTGGTTTCTGCTGCCTCTCTTCTGGCTACGTGACAACAGCCATATCAGCGGTAACTTCAACACCTGCTTATTCAATGGGAAATCTCTCAGTCTCAACCTCATGGATTCTTCAAAATTACTCAAAATTATCTAAAAGTTTAAAAATATTTATAAAATTGACGCGGCTTCTTTTGCCGAGTTACGTATGAAAGATGAAAGTGGCAAAGAAATGGCAGTTGTTCATTTTTTAACGTCAAAACGTAACTGGTTGGAAAAAAGTTTTAAGCTTTGTATTCTTTGTATTTTACGATCTAAAAATCTTTTTGACCTATGGTTCTTTTCCTTCGAGCAACGCATCTTCCGTCCCGTTCCGTCCAGCGTTCGTCCAAGGTTTATAATATAAACTAGAGAATGCAATCCCCCAAGTAAATTTCAGTCCCGGTATTTGCGGGACTGGGAAATCTCAATCCTGCAGGATCCCGCATACTGTTAAGACTTTGGTTAAAAATATGAAGAATATAATTCTTAGGTAGCATAATTTCTTTTTCTTCTTTACGTATGCAACACTGCGTCGTCCGATGACCTGATAGATAACAGAAAAACTAGGAATTTTATAGGTCAACATTTAGAATTTTATAGGACGTGATCATTCAACCGACGTGCAAACGTGTTCATGTATATGGTAGATTACGGCTAGAGACACTGGAATGCAGGCGGAAGAACGTGCCCAAGAAGAGATGAATCTGCCAATTTCATCTACGTGCAGATTCAAGCTGACCACGGATGGCCATCGCACGAAGTGCTGACACTACGTAGTCCACAGTTCAACCCCTCCAAGACTACCAGCTGAAGACCAGTATAAAGTCGGGCTTCAGCATCGAACCAGCCCTTCTGTCCTTACACATCAAGGGCAGGGGTCGCCTAGACTAGTTTAGATTAATCTTAGTTTTAATGTTCGACTTAGTTTTAAATTGTAACATAGCTTTCACACATCGAAACTTTGTTACGTTTAATAAATTATTATAGTTTAAATTCATCCTGAATTTTCTTCAAAGTCCTTCCCGCTGCGGTTCCATCATTATGGTGTCATTAAACATAGTTTTCAAAATAATACAGTAAATACTGTATCGTTACTTCAACGGTTTCTAACTTTACAAGTTATACGTCATTATTACGTATGAATTTTGCAATCTTTTAATCCCGCAATCCTGCGCGGGATCCCGCTCAAATTACGACCGAGATCAGTCCCGCAAAAAACATGCGGGATCCCGGAATTTCGGGATCCCGGTATCCCGGTACTGTATTCCCTATAATAAAGCAACTACCAAACAAAGCGCAGGTAAATAATTGAATGAAATAAATAGTTCCTTTTTTAGGGTTCCGTACCACACAAGGTAAAAAACGGAACCCTTATAGGTTCATTTTGTTGTCCGTCTGTCTGTCTGTCATTCTGTCAAGACCTTTTATCTCAGGAATGCGTAAAGATATCGAGTTGAAAATAAAACCGTATACTCAAATCTATAAACGATAGTAGTTGCGAAAAAATCCAGCACCTAACTTCAGTAACGTTTATGCAGTCAAACGCGTGTTTTTTACCCTCTCAAGGGAATCAAAATTCAGAGTGTACTTCCCGTAGACCTAGAAGTCCTAGAACAATGAAATTTGGCAAGTAGCTTTGATTTGAAGTATATTAAGGAAAAGCTCTGAAATTTTCATTTTCTTTTTCTTAAAATTATGATTTTTATGCGGGCTGAAAAATAAAACAAAATTTAAAAAATTTGGCTAGTTGTCCAAGTTGAGTATATGAAATTATGTAATATAGGTTTACCAACCAGAATAATTTACAAATCTTAGTACGGAACCCTCGGTGGGCGAGTCCAACTCGCACTAGGCCTTTTTTTAAACTAGATCTAACCACATTTAACCAAAAACTAGCGTTAAAACCAAGTACGAACGGTATGTTGAGCAAATCATTTGCAAAATATCCATCGAAAATCCGAGATACCAAAAATAGTCCTAGCGGTAGTTCAAAACATGCTGCACCTGAGAGAAGAGTTCTGAAATTTGGTACACTTAATCTTTAGGGTCAATGAATCGATTTGACCCGTAGTACACAATTTTAAAAAAATCCTATGAGGAGTAATGACGTCATCTTTTTTTGGTATGGGAAAAAAAAATTTTTGTTCCAAAACCTATTGTGTGTGGTATCAAATGAAAGGCCTTGCTAAGCCGATTCTAAAAATATATCACATTATTATATTTAAGTCACTTGTATAAAATTAAATAGGAAATAATTCTCGAAACATGCCACGTTTGGGCTTCTCCAGGTATGATACGGTTGAATAATTACTTATGAAGTATACGTAATATAATGTGGAATATCCTCATCTCTAACCTCAAGAAAGGTACTACGGATTTTTTGTCTTTAAGGATTTTTTTTTAATTTTAAAGTTACAGAAATTTATAAAAACACACTTAGTTGAAATTTTGCATCGAAAGTTCAATTTTGGACACCGAGAATGATAAAAATATAGCCAGTTGAGATTACAATCATATTATTATGTACATCACATCATATTCGTTTTGCAAAAAGAATGTTATGTGCTTCGGAGGGCACGGTTAGTTAACCCTCGGCCCCGTATCAGTCGCTCTCTATGAATAATAAATAAGACGGCGGTGGT